CCCAGTGTTGGCAGAGAACCGTTCGTCCTTTCACACTCTCCTAGTGTGGGCAGAGAACCCTTCGTCCTTTCACACTCTCCTAGTGTGGGCAGAGAACCCTTCGTCCTTTCACACTCTCCTAGTGTAGGCAGAGAACCCTTCGTCCTTTCACACTCTCCTAGTGTGGGCAGAGAACCCTTCGTCCTTTCACACTCTCCTAGTGTGGGCAGAGAACCCTTCGTCCTTTCACACTCTCCTAGTGTGGGCAGAGAACCCTTCGTCCTTTCACACTCTCCTAGTGTGGGCAGAGAACCCTTCGTCCTTTCACACTCTCCTAGTGTGGGCAGAGAACCCTTCGTCCTTTCACACTCTCCAAGTGTCGGCAGAGAACCGGATCTCCTTGACAGATCTTCTCACAAGAATCTAGAAGGAAGAAAGAAAAGAGTGAAGTAATCCCAATTCACAAGTAGAGACTCTTACCTTTGAAATCCAAGTGAAGCCTTCTTGCTTCTATGGTAGGAATCTTCCCTTGAATGCTCTCTTCACTTCTCTCCTTGGCTATTCTCTCAAGAGGCACGAAGATCAAATGACAAAAAGATTGGGTGGCAGTCTAATTTGGGCTATTTATACAAAAGACAAGAAAAACCGCCCAAAAACTGCAAGTTTTCAATTCTGTACGCAGTGGATCGTCCTGTACGATCGTGGATCGTCCTGGACGATTTTACTTAAACGATCTGAAACGACCCTATTTGAATATGTGTACGAAGTGTCTTCGTACAGCTGATCGTCCTGTACGAACTAGGTTCGTCCAGTACGAACGGTTATTACAAGGTCGAATCTAGAAACTGCTGAAAACTGTCCTAAGTCGGTTAATCGTTTGGACGATAATTAATTTCGTCTGGACGAAAATTTTACAGAGAGCCAATCGTACTGTACGATAATTAATTTCGTCTGGACGAAAATTTTACAGAGAGCCAATCGTACTGTACGAAAATTAATTTCGTCTGGACGAAAATTTTATAGAGAGCCAATCGTACTGTACGATAATTAATTTCGTCTGGACGAAAATTTTACAGAGAGCTAATCGTACTGTACGATAATTAATTTCGTCTTTTACGAAAATTTTACAGAGAGCCAATCGTACTGTACGATAATTAATTTCGTCCTGGACGAATAGGACTTAGAAAATTTTTCGAGCAATTTCCTATTCGTTCCATATGCTCTATAGGAGATAACTGTCTGATCGTCCAGTACGAACGAAAATCGTCCTGTACGATCAACACAAATTTAATATGATCTCCTTATTTGTGTGTGCATGTTTTTATTCACTCAAGTTACAATCACTCCCTTTCAATTTGATTTCTAAGCAAAGTGCAAGCTTCAAAAATTTCAAGGTATCTCATGTTGATTTTAATTTGAAGCCTTGTAGTCTGGAATTCTTTCCCTGAAATGTTAGTACACACAAGAGCAAATACAATTCTTCCAAAATTGTTAGGAGATAACTACACATTTGAACAATAATGTTTGAAATCATCAAAACTTTATAAGTTGTCAAAAATGTAATGCATGCAAATAGCAACTATCTTAACAGTTTATATCTCAAATAATATAATTTTTTAAATACATCTGAATTATGGTATAATTATATAGAACATATTAAAATAAATAATTAAACATTCTTTAAATAAATATTTTATCGAGCTCTTACTATATAAATATATTTTATTCTTAGGCTAATTATTTAATTACTTAAATAAACGAAATAAATCTTTTTTTATATGAATTACTGAATTAGTATGGCTTACAGCACGACAATTATTAGGTCCAGTGACCGGACGTAGCTCTACGTCCGGTCACCACTGAGATCGCGCCACATGCTCTTACTCTTTAGCGCGCGGCCCAACGACTTGACCCGGAACGGAACCCATGAATGCTATGTTCGCGTATTGCTAGGTATTACTCGGTATTTGCTCGGTATTGCTAGGTATTGCTTGGCAATAACGAGAAATACTGCTCTGTGAAGACCAATACCGAGCAATGTCGAGTTTTAAAAAACTCGGTATTGCTCGGTATTGCTCGGTATTACTCGGTATTGCTCGATATTTGTCTTCACATAATGATATTTCTTATTATTGCCGAGCAAAATCGACAAATACCTAGAATACCGGGTTGTCATGGATTTAAAAAAAAACACATGCGACATACCCACTATTCGCCGGGTCGATTTCACAGTTTTATACCTGCTACGTGGCGCGTTCTCAGCACTCTCCGAACATAACTCTACGTCCGGTCACCGGACCCAATAAAAGGTCCTTGCAGCACAGCCCAATGATGTGTGCGTCATCTTCATGAGTTCGGGTCCCATCAAACCAATAAAGCGTCCGTGGTATATTCTGGCAACAGTTCGGACTCGGATTCTCGCCAGACATTTTCACAACGGAGAGAGAGCTGAGGAGAGTCGGAGAGAAGAGAGAGAGAGAGGGGGCTGTTTGAGAAGGAATGGGGTGGGCGATCGCACTCCACGGCGGGGCCGGAGACATCCCCTTGTCGCTCCCGCCAGAACGGAGGCTACCGCGAGAGGAGACGCTTCGCCGATGTCTGAGAATAGGCGTTGCAGCCCTCAAGGCCAATCGACCGCCGTTAGATGTCGTCGAGCTTGTTGTAAGAGTCTGGCATCCTTTTCCTTACCTCGCTAACATTTTTTTTTTTTTCTAAATTCCTCTGCCTTTCATTTGTTGGGAAAACATGATTTTTGTCAATTAGATGAATAATTTGCATTAGGAAGCGTTCTGTTGCATTGACGATCGCTTTTTCTTGACAGCAAGTGAACATTCATCTGCGTTTCATTTAAGCAACGCTTCTTTAAAAAAAATTTACTCAGTTTTATTTTGATTATAAGAGAAGAAAACATTTTTTTTCTAGCTCTTGAAAGGATCGCTAGATCGATGTCCCTGCAAGAGTGCACTTTGATTTAGAGATATATGCATGGCTGAGAGGCTTCTATGAACCTGTCGGATTTGATGACTTCTTAGCCGTAGGTTAGAACTTCTCATCACTCTCACTGTAGATTAGACGAGTTTTTTTTATTTACGTAAGAAATTCTTAAATGATAGAAAATCATGTGATTTGTTCGAGTTGAACAATTTTTACTATATGCTGGTCTGTTACAAGCTCCATCTTCCTCTGGCTAATTGGAGGATGGACTGTACAAGATATCAATTGAGAAGAAAAAAAAGACTTAGGGTGGATGTCATGCCAGTTGAGGATGGAGAAATCTTTGTTTGTTGCTGCAGAATTAAGCATGGAAGAAGCTGATGGGAAGTATGAAGAATTTGACGGAAGCTTCTTGATCAAGTAACAAACTTTACAGGTCAACAATGATTAATGGGGAAGAGGGTGTTAAATAATGATATTTTGATTTGACGCTGCTTTTGCAGCATGTTTTGGTCTAATATTGCAGATTTCATGCAAATTTGTTAAAGCTCTAGAACTCAAAACTTGTGACTAGCCTGAAATGAGTAGTTGTTGAAGAGAGAAACTTCTTTGGCAGACTTTTATAGATACTGGATATTTTCTTCATAGGGGTAGATGGTCAATTGTAATTCATGAATATGAGTTTTCCTAAAGCAAAATACTTGATGAAGCTTGGTATTGCTCTACAGTGAGTGGCAGCTAACAAATATGCACAAAATCAGAAGTAGTAGTGAAATCGAGTTTCTTACTGGTTATTTCTTTTTCATTTTTTATTAATACAAATTGTTCTTAATGAAATCATGTTTAAAAGATGTTGTTGATATTATTTTTTACATTTTAGAAGAGAATTTTTTTTTGCATGTAGAAATCAAATTATGAGTATTGATTAGTTCCTTCATTTGAAGGGTTTTATGCATAGAAGGGTTATTTGAATTCAAGTCATTGGCATTTAAAACTTTTTTTTTTTAATGTTATATGTGTCTATATTGCAATGCAAACACATTACATCTCCACTTAGAAAGTGAGCTGCATCTGATCAATATCAATTTAACCAAATCTTGACTCCCATCCCCCATCCACATACATGGATATTATACCAAAAGAAAACTCCATTGAATATGGAGATTTTGGTAAGCTGAAGTAATGGATTATCGCATGTCTATGATCACCTTATTTAGTTGCACCCATTGATTTACTGTCGATCATTTTCAGCTCCAACTATCACTACTCTTGCTATTGAAGACCGTGACTTTGCATTACCATCACATCAACATTTTCTTATATTCTAACGCCTTGATGAATCTAGCAAATTCTAAGATAGATACTGGAGTTCTTAAATGTTATTACTGTAGTTATATATTGTTTAATTTAAATGGACAAGCGATATACACAATTTCTTCACAAACATTCTTGAAGGCGTGACCCAAAGCATATGTTGGAAAATCATCTTGTTAGTGTTAGACCGGTCCAGGCGGGACCGGCTTACGGGCGGAACAGCGGAGTTGTTCCACTACAGATGCCGCGCGAGCTGCAGGCTTTGCGAGAGCCGAATAGGAAAGTTTTTTGGGGGAATTAAGAAGGAAATTTGAATGTAGGGATTGTTTAGGGATTTCCTTTTGATTATTATCCATTAAATAGTTTGTTTTCCTAGGTTAGAGCATCTTGAATTTTGTTGAAATTTGATATCTCTTAGATTTGGGTTTTCTTTAGGCTCTAGCGGCGTCTAGAGATTTGGGAGAGATCGATCCTCCTCTTTGAATAGAGGATCAATTGTATCTTGTTATTTTTCTTTTCCCTTTTATGAAATAATACCAATTATCTACTGTTTTTGTGGTTTTGTGTGGATTTTGGCAGCGAAAGCTCGCTGTTTTTCGAAGATTGATAGGAAATAGTTGAGATCTGCAACTGTTTCCTATCAGTCAGCTGTTCATTTTATCACTAATTCATTTCGGGGTCTTGATTTCATAAATCATATTTGTAGGTTCGTGAGTTAGAAAATTGCCCACACTTTAATGCTGGTAGAGGATCTGTCCTGACCACCAATGCTACAGTTGAAATGGAAGCATGCATCATGGATGGAAACACAAAGAGGTGTGGTGCTGTCTCGGGCCTTTCTACAGTTGTTAACGCCATATCACTTGCAAGGCTTGTGATGGAGAAAACGCCTCATATATATCTGGCATTTGATGGAGCTGAATCCTTTGCGAGGGAACAGGTTAATCTGATGAACTTCATAATTTCAAATTTGTTTGAAATTAATTTTAGTATATTGCTTTAAGTTTCTAACTTCCACAAGCAGCTTTTGTTTAGGAAATTTTGATGTGTATCAAGGGTTTTGTTGTTCAATTTTATTCCTATTTTTAGATTTAATTTTAAGATTACTTTATATTACAGATACAAGTAAGTTTTCAGAATTAATAATTGTTATATTCAAATTTGAAACATGATATCTAATACATCACACACATAAATCATCTAGTTTAGGTATCTGATATACCTGTATTTCAGAATAATCATTACAAGTTTGACATAAATTTTAAGAACATTTTAATTTTAAGGAGTGGTTTTGTGGATATTCATGATCCATATCCTATCAAATGTAGTTATTTTTTTAGTCCTGCAAAATTATGGAACTGTGACTATTGCCTCTAATATAGGATGGGACCCTTTATGGTAATTATTTGCTAATAAGCATTATTTTGGTTTAAATAGTTAAGAACTGAGTGGTAAAAATGAACATGCTTGAGTATGTGGCTAGCATTTTGTATATTGGCTTTGTTGAATCCTACCATGGAGGTTCATTTCTTTGACTGCATAGATCATGTCGTTTTACGGTTTTTATTTTTCCTTGTATAATACTGGTCCGTACTACTTTTAGTCTATGCTGAGCCATTTATATTCCATCAACATGTGCCCACCAATATTGCCCATTACAATAGTATCATTGGAGTTGATACACGACTTGCTTTAAATATGAATACAAAAAGTCGAGTAGGTGGATTAGTCCGAGTGGAGAGAAAAAAAAAATATGGAACTGAAAATCTTTTTTGAAGATATTCATTTTTCTGGAGAGGTGGATAAAATATCTAGGCACAATGGTATTTTGATACCACCAGGAATGAAAAAAGAAAATTCTAAAGGATAAAAAAATTGAAAAATTGGATCTTAGCACCAGCATGAGCGTAGTCCACTGTTTTGCACTGATTCAACTGTAGGGTATGGACTATGGAAGTTTCTGATTGTAACTGTTAAATGTTGGCCTGCCCCAAACAAAACTGATAGTTATGGGCAAAAGAGATATTAATATACATATTAAAGTGGAAAATAATCGGATGCAGAACAATAGGAAGAAATCAAGCTTAAAACTGAAAGCTAAAATCATGAAATCAAGCTTAAAACGGAAGCTAAAATCATGAAGTATAGTTATTTGAAGAGTGCTTACATGAATATCACACTTAAGAAACAATCAAATGAAAATCAAGCAAGAAGATACAATGGAAGGTTGGATTTCAAATCCACTCTTGCATGGTTGGTCGCCTCCCTCAATTGACAAGATTCCAAAGCATTCAAAATTAACCTACAGTCAAATTCAATCAACTTGGATGGCTAAAATATTTGTTAGAGATCACTAAATTCAAAAAAAATCAAGCCTCATGGCAGTACAAGAGTAACTCGCTCCTAAAATTGATTTTCACATTTGAATCATACACTTGAAGGAGTCGGCATCCAACCAACTATATAAGTTTGAAAGAAGATTTAAAATTTTATCAAGCAAAAAGTGTTTCAATACATTCCTCAGATTCTAACACTAATTAATATACATCAAATTCCCTCCAATCTGCTGTTTCCTAATTTTTCCCTTCCCAAAACAAACTATTATTCAAAGTCACAATATATTCATAGTCAAGGCTACATAAAATCATAGCAAAAGGATCATATGAATAGACTCTATGCAATTTCAAGGATAGAGTGATAGACTCTATGCGGCAACAAAACAAATAACGCAGAAGTAGCGGCCCCAAATTTGGTGTTTTGAGGCAATGATCTTATATGCATGTATGATGAAACACGCATAAAGGTGTTGTAGGGTATACTCTATGGTCGGATGTTTAAGCACAAGCAAATAGCATGGGGAATAGCGGCATTGCAAGTCCCCTACCCATTAACTTGTTTTTTGCAGAAATATGACAGCAAGTTGTCATCCAGAAATGAAGCCTACTGGAATATACACAACATCCTGTGCAGCTCTGTAAATGCCTTGAAATGGCCTAAAAATAGGAAAATAGTGCAGTCTTACCTTATTTGAGAATTGTAAAAATAACTAAAGGGGAAAACTTGATCTCTTGAATTGGTGGCTTAGATAACGGCAAATTGTACATGTTTTCTGTGAATATTTTCTCTAATCTCTGTCACATACCTAGATTTGAGCTCAGACATGGAGAGACGTGAATTCAATAGATTTACAGTACAATGTGCTGGCCTGAAACGGAAGGTACCATGTTGGCAACAAATCAATGAGATATAGCTAACTTCTTGCTGGGGAATGTTATATTGCATAGCGGTGAATGTTGTAAGAGATGCACAGCTAAAGTTTTGCATAAAATGGATGCAAATCACGTGTCAGATACATGGATACAAAAAAAAATGCAATGTGTCATAAACATGTTACAAATCATTAGCTATGTGATTATCGCCCTCTCAAGCGCCTAATTAATTTGTTATCTTTCTTCTCAAATTATAATGTTGATCTCCATATATATTTCATGCTCAATCTAGAATGATGAGAAGGACAACTGATTGACACAACATTGATTGCTCGTAATAAGCTCGAAACGCTTCGATGTTGCACAAAAATTGTTTAGATGTTGTTTGTCCACAAAACGGGCTGTGTCAAAGTGCCTAAAACTTCAGATTTATCCAAGGAGAATCATTCACAAGCCACTCGATCAAGCAATGACAAGCACGATGGTCCACAATACTAATTGTCCATCTAACGACTAGTCTTAATAGAATGTGTTCTCTCATCACTGAGATGGATAATTAATCATAGAATCTTGCACCTATGTAAAACCTGAACTCGGATATTAAAATCCTCATAAATAAGACAAAAATCTTTGGGTAGCATCATATTGATGTAATACAAACATGCGAAGAGTTGCTTTGGGAATGTAACAATAAAATTGAATTCATACTTTGCTAATTAGTAACTCATGCTTCAATCAAAATAAATTCTTAGAACTTTTCCATTGAAAGATTGAGTAGTGGTAAGCCGTTACAAGAGGTTAGCAAGACAGTTGCAAGAACAACAAAATTAAATAGTAATTCTAATAGCTAGCAAACAGAAATCCACAGCGTAACATCAAGACATGGTCACTTAGAGTTCCTACTCACTCAATCACTCTTAGGCTTAACGATTGAAGATGAAGCGTACGATGAGAGAAATTTCCACTAAGAAGATAGTACCGAAGGTCTTTGTTGACGGAGAGGTAGCCACGGACGGAGAAGGGGTAGATCTCCCAATGAGAAGCCAAGACGTCTTAGGCTTTTGAAGATTGATCGTCTCTACTAAGCAATAGAGGATGCGCTTGACGTATCTTTCCACAGTCTCGTCGTATTCCCAATCGGGATCGTAGAAAGGAGAGAGAAGAATGTCAATCTCCCCACGAATGTTGTAAGCGAAACTGTGATCAACCTCGAGATCGGCCATTCAACATTGAAGAGAATGTGAGAGGGCGTCGTCTTCTGAGCAACCAAAACTTCCCAAGGGAGGGAGATAGAAGAGGGGCGGCCAAGGTAGAGAGCGAGGGGGCAGGTGGTTTGGGTGAGAGAGTTTAGGTTAGATGGAGGAGAATGAGATTTACTCCAAATCTGAAATTAATTTCAGATTTTTAGTAATTTTGGAGGGAATCAATTTGAAATTGATTTCAAATTTCAAATAGAGTTGAGGGGGATTAATGAGCATTTAATGGGAGCCCATCAAGGAGGGGGGGGGGGGGGGGGGGGGGCGTGTGGGGGGGGGGGGGTCGGCGGCATTGAGAGAGAGGGAGAGGGGTTTAAAGCTAATCCTGAAATTAATTTCAGGATTTGAATAATTTGGGGAGGAAAATTATTTGAAATTAATTTTAAATTTCAAATAAGGTGGGGGGAATTAATTGAGCATTCAATGGGGAGAATCCCACATGGGGCTGGCGGCATATTGATGGGGGGAGGAGATTAGGGAGGAGAATAGGGAGTTTCCAAATAGGCGAGGAGGATTAGGAAAGGGGATTATTAAATCCAATTTGATTTATTTTGATATTGAATGCATGATTTATACTTTCCTAATTTGGAACTCTCTATTTGGAAAGAATTTGAAATTCGAATTTAAATTTCAAATGAAATCAAATTTTCCCTCTCATGCTAGCTAAATTAGGAAGTCATTAAGGTGATGGAAATCATTATAATGAAGGGAAATTTTGAGGGAAGGGGACCGGCGGCAAGGTGATGGGGTGGGTTGGGGTTCGGTTGGTGGGTGGAGTTTGAGTGGTGGAGCTAGAGGATGAATTGGGTGGAGGGGGTTGAGCCACCGGTGGTGAGAAAGTTGGACGTGGCCGGCGATTTGTTTGGGGAGGGGAAGGGAAGAAGAAAAGCGCACCAATAAGATATATATAACTAACCACGAGCCGTGGACTCTTCCGACGACTGGTGGGCCTTGCACTTGCTCGCTTTGAGCTCACTCTCCCTTCTCTCTAGCTCTCATGCAAGAAGAAGCAACGAAAATTTTTTTAATCATTCATCAATCCTTTTACAACACAATGGGCCACTATATACATGCCACTCCACACGAAAAGAAAAGTACAAACATGCCCTCCGGGCTATAATGCAAAATACTCCCCATAAGGGTAAAAATCGAAAACAACAAAAACTAAATAAAACATCATGCAAACAACAATAGATAGAACATAAAGCGTCAAAAGTAAAGACGTTGAATCGTAGTCGTCGATCTACGATTCCGTCGCCGGTACACGTGTCTGAATCTCTGAGCGATGTCCTCATCATATATATATATTGAGAATATATATATATATATTGAGAATATTAATACAACATAGTTTCAGAATTGTTTTTTTTTTCAGCGGATTTGCTTGTTCAATTTGAAATATCATTAGTTATTTGCTTCTGATGTTGTCTTGCCTTCGTGCTCTGTGATTTTAGCATCTATTCAAGTATCTCTTCTTTGATGCTAGCTTAACCCCTCCTGGTGCTCAATTGAATTCCAAAGCATCCTAAGCTTTCTTCTTGAATGAACGAAACACTGCAGGGTGTCGAAACAAGGGACGCAAGCCATTTTATAACTCCTGAAAATATTGAGAGGCTGACCCAAGCAAAAGCAGCAAATAAAGTGCAGGTATATTTCAGTAATCATTACGAAATGCCTTCGATATGCTTATGAAATATACAGCATAGAATGTTTTCTAGTTTTGAAGAAATTCCTAAATATTTTATGTAAGCCTTGTCCTACTTTCTATAGACATTCCTAACTTCTATCAATGAATTTCCCTCACACAAAGTAAATGGAATTGAGATTACTAAATTCAAACTAATGATCTCATAGATTATCCTTACAGATTGATTACACTCAACCTGTTCTTGAGAAAACTCCTCAAGTTTCATCATCTAACATAGGCGACAGCCAAATTGGTACTGTCGGATGTGTTGCAGTGGATGGCAATGGAAACCTTGCTGCAGCAACTTCCACAGGTGGATTGGTGAACAAAATGATCGGCAGAATTGGCGACACGCCGATAGTAGGTGCAGGAACATATGCCAATTACCTCTGTGCCATCTCGGCGACCGGTAAGGGCGAAGCGATCATCCGGGCCACCGTTGGCCGGGATGTTGCAGCTTTGATGGAATATAAAGGCCTTTCGTTGAAAGATGCAGCAGACTGTGTAGTTGAGAATTCTCCCAAAGGTACAACAGGCCTTGTTGCTGTTTCTGTTACTGGTGAGGTTGTCATGGCTTTCAACACTTCAGGCATGTTCAGAGCTTGTGCAAAAGAGGATGGTACTTCAGAGATTGCAATATGGGATTCTGTAGAAAATGGAGATTTACTGTTGCCATAAATAAGTTTCTGTAGGCCTTCCTCCTTGCTATAGTATGTGCTGAAACAATTACAAGGAGAAATAATTATGAAACAGGTGTCTGTTCTTGTGTTTGAAGGCGACAGGAAGCTTGTTTGGAGTCTTAGGCTTTGTTTGGGACAGTTTTCTTCTTGCTTTCTAAAATAGCTTTTTTACTATTTTTTAAAAGCAATAAGAAAGTAGTTTTAAATGAAGTCTTAGGTTTTATTTGGGACGGTTTTCTTACTGTTTTTTAAAGCAGCTTTTTAGTATAAAAATTTAAATTTTTGTACTAGGAAATTACTTTGAGTAAAAAGAAAGTCATCTCAAACGAACCCTTAGGCTCTATTTGAGACAACTTTCTTACTACTTCTTAAAACAATTTTTTAATACAAAAATTAAAATTTTTATATAATAAAGTTGATTTAAAAAGCAGTGAAAAAGTTGTCTCAAATGAAGCCTTAATCAAAGCATATAGTGCTTTGTCAATAGCTTTGATCATAAATTGTTCTTTATTTGTTGTTTATTTAAATGTTCAAGTTGTCCTTTAATCGCACCGAAGGAGGAACTATTGGATGAACATAGCTCAATGCTAGCTAGCTAAATATTTACTTGATTTTCGACCATATGGACTCTTTGAGCTTACCATATGGATCTAATAGAGTGCAAATTTGAGCTCATATCTGTTAAACAAAACTACTTTATGCTTTTACAGGTCATTATTATTCCATTATCCTGCACCTCCAACCGACTGGCTGGCTGCTACCGGTAATGTTGGTCTGCCATGAAGTCTGGCAACTATGGTTACAGCAGCTCTTTTCATCATTTACCTTAATACTATAAAGCTGTATCACTGTAGTTATTTCAGTATGAAGGAAATACAATAGTTTTCCTCGATGTTCTTCTTCCTGCTCCTGTTTTCTTCTTTGCTTCTGTTTTTCAACTTCTGAAGTTCGGTGAACTAAGCATCCTTTCATGGTATCATAGCCGGTTATTCCTTAAAACTTTAGCTCGTCATCTAAGCTGGCTTCATGGCCAATACCGAAGTGTCATCTACGGCAGCTGAGTAGACTACGCCCACCACTGCTTCCCCTATTCCCACCACTGTCCCTGTTATACCACCACAGCTGAAATTCCTTATGGCGAATGTCAAGTCTATACTTAATGTACAGCTTGTTGCCTCCAATTAGCCTATATGGCGATCCCAGGTATTAAAGATCTTTGGCGCAAATGGCTACACCGGATACCTCGATGGTACTACACGGCAACCTCCCAAACACCTTTCTGCAGACTCATTCTTGGTGAACCCAGAATACCTCTCCTCACATCTAGTAGACCAAAACTTGGCAGCTGCCTTGTTTTCCTCCATCTCTCAGCCTTTACTACTGTATGTGCTCAATCTCTCAACTTGCATGACATTTGGCATAATCTGGAACATCGGCTACAAGCATCTACATGCTCGCGCCTGCTTCAGCTCAAAAACGAGTTGCATCTCAAAATGCAAGATAAATCGATGTTTCAGTACCTGTCCGACATCAAACAGCGTGTAGATGCCATTGCCTTTGCTGGAGCGCCCATCAACACTGAAGATGTCATCTTCTACACGCTCAATGGACTACCGCAAACATATAATGCCTTTAAGACAGCCATTCGCACTAGAGCACAACCCATCAGCTTAAATGAACTTTATGCTCTCCTCTACAGTGAAGAAGTTAATATCTCTTCAGAACAAGTCAACCTGCAATCCCTAGATACATCTCTTGTCCCCGTGGTCCTGCACGCGGTCGATCGTCTCCCTCACAAGGAGGACGTACCTCTGCCCGGGGTGGTGGCTGTCGTCAAATGTCCTCATTAGTATGTCAAATTTGTGCAAAACAGGGTCGTTTCGCTGTGTCATGCTGGTACCGAGCCGATCTCTCATACCAACCATCTCAACGAGATCTTATTGCTCAGGAGGACAAGTCAGCTTATGATGACTGGTTCTTAGATACTGGTGCAACCTCCCACCTCACAGCAGACGCCACTCAGCTACAAACCATTCAACCATACAAAGGTACATCCAATGTTCAAGTTGGAGATGGTTCTCAGCTGCCTATTGCGAATTCTGGTAAAGGCATCCTTCCAACTCCTGACCGTAAGTTACAGCTCCCACATATACTTCATGTTCCAAAATTAACGCATAATCTCATCTCTGTTTCTCGTCTCCTCAAAGATAACTTATGCTACATTGTCTTTGATAAATCTGGTTTCATTCTTAAGGACTCCCAGACGCACCAGACCTTACTTCGGGATCCCAGTAAACATGGTCTCTACCCTATTAATCTACCTCTCACACTCAACCCCAACGGCAACAACATAACTCTTGTTGCGCTCTTCACCACCCCATTTATGTTCCTTCACTGGCACAGGCGACATGGACATCCATCTCTAACCACTCAACAAAGACTATCTGTCACGCTCAAGTTTTCTACTACCCACCCGTCCAAGCATCACTGTGATTCATGTGTTCGAGCGAAATGTCATCGTCTTCCCTTTAGCTTATCTAAGTCTACTTCTACAAAATGTTTAGAACTTTTACATTCCGATGTATGGGGACCGTCCCCAATTTTGTCCACTCAATACTATAAATATTAACCTTCTCATAGTTGAGGATTTCACACGATTTTGCTGGGTGTTCCCTTTAAAATTCAAATTTGAAGTTCTTACTGTTTTTCAATTTTTCAAACAACTTGTGGAAACCCAATTTCAAACCAATATTAAGCAACTACAAACAGATAATGGCGGCGAATTTATAAACCAGCCATTCAAACAATTTCTAACCAATTACGGTATTGCTCATCGTCTTTCATGCCCCTACACACCCCAATAGAATGGCTTAGCCGAGAAAAAACATCGCCACCTTCTCGAAACTATGAGATCACTCATGTTCGAAGCCAATATTCCTACAAAGTTTTGGGTTGATATCTTACTGACTGCAGCATACCTTATTAACAGATTGCCAACTGCTGCCTCGCCTCATGTCTCCCCCTATCAAGCCCTTCACAATGTACCACCATATTACAATTTATTTCGCACTTTTGGCTGTTTGTGTTATCCATGGCTCCCTCCTACGCACCGTAACAAACTTCAACCACGTTCCATTGCCTGTGAGTTACTTGGCTATACACCCGAATCCAAGGGCTACAAGTGTTTCGATCCCATAACTAACCATGTATTTATCTCTAGACACGTTACCTTCTTTGAAAATCATTTTCCTTTCAAACAATCACCTCCCCCTCCGTGATTTTGTGTTGGAACTAAAACTGTCGATTCCCTCATTTCCGTTTGCCAAAACTCTCTTGTGAATGTGTTTCACTTGATTTCATCTCTCTTAAAGTACTCTAACCCAATGTTGGTCAATAATTTGTTATGCGTCTAGGTTGACAACACCAATAACAAGTGTTAGAGCTCATCAAACATTCACCCTTATGAAATCTTTCACACTTAGCATAAGCATCCATGACTCTACTGGCAATAACAATATTAACTCCACTAGGGCTAAATTTGGGCTTCTTCCCATTTGATACTTTAGTCTAATTGTTTTAGATATCTTCTTTAACATTTTTCCTTTTTTTATGGTCCCTTCTCTTTTGAGTGATTTGAAATTCAATCTCCATCCTTCTAACTCTTTAAATCAATATTGAATAATCATCGATTCCTAAAGGTACTAGAGGTTGTCTAATTGTATCATTTAGACTATATTGGAATTGATAACATTTCTCCTCTATTGTTGCAATTAGCTGCAGACTGCAGTGCATATTTGGATAAGGTTGTGAATTCCACTTCATATTGCATCACTGATTTGTCTCTTTAAATCAATCTTATGAATTTATCATGCATCTACCTACTTGCTGATATATGTACAAACCATTCTCTGAAAAGCTCCACAAAGTTTTTATAATAGCCTGTATTTTGATGCTGATAAATCATTTTTTTAGGAGTCATTATAAGTTCAAAATACAAATTATATTCTTTATAAGATAGATATTATTGTGTTTTAATTATAATAATTTTTTCGTAATTTTTTAGCACTAGTGTAAATTCTTAAGAAATTGACACATGTCAATATAAGTGAAGGGTTTGGGTCCATCAAGTATCTGGTTTGCAAATCGATTTCATTAGAATTTTTTCTATAAGATTTAGAAGGATTTATATAAATTTTATATTAAAATTTTGATTTATCATAATAATTATTAGTTACTTTCACTAGATATATAAATTTATTATTTTGATGATTTATAGAATTTCTGATTGATTAATTAAGAAGATAAAATAGATAGTTCTTTTAAATTTGATTTTAGGTCATTACAATCCTCACAGTTGACCAACCTATTTGGAATGTCTCCTAAATTATCTATGTTATTCTCTCCAACACCTTTCTACTTCTTCATCTAAAGAAAATTTAGCGAGTTGCACTTTTCTTTCATCAGGGCATGACATGCTATCAAATATCTTCTCTATACAAATCAATCAATTCTTTGCCTCAATTCGTCCTTCATACCATTAAATAGTGGCGGTCGCATGTTCTAGAATAACTTTAGATACTTCTCTACTCCAACTCCATGATGTGATTTTGATTCTTGAAGCGGTTAGGTCATAGCCACCATCATCTGGGTAAAGGTATTAGTGTTCACATCCACTTAATGTGGTACTTATTCTCCTTTCATATTTATATCATTTAGGTCATCTTAATCATCTGAATACATGATATAAGATAATTAATTATACTATCTAATTGAATCTCTAAATTTCTTTTTGAATAATTTCTTAAATTATTCCTATGGCTCTTTCATTACAATTCACATTCCTATGATACTCTTTGGGCCATTATATCACTTTTGTACAACTCGGCTCGGAGACTCAAATTAACGAGGCGAGAATAGATGGTCGGATGTTTGATTAAAATTTTAATTACTAAGTAATTATTTCCAATAAGCAGAAAGAACCACTAAATTTTCAAAATTTTAAAATTTAATGTTATAAATACCTTTCTTTCGAAGCGTCTTGCCTATGATGCACACTATTCTCTTCTACTCATTTTAAACTTTTGAATAATAATTGTGTTTATTTAAAAATATAGGGTTAATCATAAAAGTACTCATCAAGTAAATCATGTTCTAAATTATGGTGACACAAAGCATTGGAAATAATATACATGCTCATTACCAAATATTAAATAATTATATTTCAATTTTATTTTAATATAATTATTAATATTATACAAATAACATATATTTATCTTTTTCTATAAATAATACAATTGTCACAAAAGACACTGTCTAAAAATAGTACAAATGAATGTACCCCTTTTACATTTTCTTTTCCGTAAAATTTTTTATTTATGTATATGGATACATTGCGTCCCCAACTAGTATCATAAGGAGGTGTGTTCCTTCATTTAATATGCACACGCAAACATATATAATCTAGTAACCTAGTGGGTTCTAATGAAAATTATGAAACTTAGACCTATTTTAGTCTAATAAATTTTAGATCCACCCATTATGTTCACCTGGTCTAGCAAGTCTCCAGACTCAAATTAAGCTAGCCAATCCTAATCTACTAACCTCTAAACCAAGATTTTAGAACAACTCTAGTCTAACAAGTTACTAGACACGCATACTTTAGCATTATAGCTTGGGAGCTCTAAGTAGAGTTAGGTTGTTAACTTCCCTTTTAAACCTTCAGCGGGTTAGTTGGCTTCACTCCAAAGAATCCTGATTATTCAAATCCATCCAATGTTCCAGGACATAACACAACTCTTTTGCACTTTATTTATCTCTTTGAATGACAATAGAACAAGAAATTATTCCGTGATGATACCGAACGGTCTGAAGATCAATCAGAACGTGTCACGTCACCTATTACCGAGCAAAAAAAATGATGTGGCACGTTCTGGTTGGTCTCCGGATGCCATTCCAAAAAAATTTTTCGGATAGTACTCTCTTAAAGGACGTCCTCAACATAATAATTGATGGTAGATCAAACACATCAGCCTATCTGCATCTAAAAATTAGACAATGGTCAATATCCCAACAGGCAATGACTTGCACTTTCTGTTCTATTGCATTTTCAGTCGATGCTTATGTGAGCCAACCTTGATGCCCTCAATGTCATTTTTCTTCATTCGAATTATCAAATCTAAGAGACTTCTTGTACTAAAGGCTCATTTACAAATTGATGGTGGACGTTGATCTCAACCAATGGAAGATTTTGGCAAGTAAGAAAAACTGGTATTTTGTCCTCAGAGTATTCACAATAAACTCATTTTACCCTTTGCTATGTGAATAGATTTCCAAGCTAAATTAGCATAAAACAACGCAATTTTGGACATCCAATTTCTCTTTTCCAATCCTTTTTAAAGTCCCATGTAATATTAAAAATTTAACATATAGTTTACTTTTCAACCTTCAAAGATGTGATGAATAGTACAGAATGAGTTAAGAAAATGGCTCTTATCCTTCTAATATGGATGGTAGTGTGTGCATCTAGAGAAATTACTCTATGCGACGCTGAACGCCGTTCAGAGATCAACCAGAATGTGTCACGTCACCTCCTGCTCGGTACTTGGCTCGATATTGCTCGGTACCGCGGCTCGGTACTGCTCAGTGCCCGGCTCAGTACTGCTGACGTGATGCATTCTGATTAGTCTCCGGATGGTAAACTACGTTCGGCGTCTGCACATAATAATTTCTCGTACGTCTGCATGCCAAAACAATAGGATTAAATTGTTGACAAATTGAGAACCATGAATGAAGCAAGTTCACCATTCCAATACACTTGTAGTCATGTCTGCATCCTTCTATCTTGAAAAACTGGTGTATAAAGTATACAAATATAAAATTGATTTGAATAAATGTTACTTCCACATGACTTCTATGTTTATATATACAGAATATTAGCTGTAAAGCGAAAGCAATACAACTGTACAGAAGAATCTTCATTCTATATCATGTATGCACTGAGTTTCAGGTGTTCTTCAAAAATCATTGAAGAAAACACAGATCTCTCACCTCGATAAATTTTCTGGATCATCGAACAATTGATTGAAGCCGAATTCTGAGCAACTCTAATCTGCTGTGAAACTTTTTCACAATATTCTAAAACTTGGGAGTTCATCCAATCATACTGAGAAGCAGAGAAGAAGATATTCCAGTTACCTCACCATCAATTATTCTTCTTCTCATCAGCATCCACCAGCTCTGGTACTTTATCAAGTAAACAATTCATCTCATCAGGAAATTCAAGCTTTGCTCGGTTTGTTTTACCTCCAACAACAACGGTGGTTCCATCTTGTAAGGCCCATATCTGCAAAAAAGAAAATGTAAGCCTTCGTTTGGGGCGTCTTTCTTACTGCTTTTTAAAGCAACTTTTTAGTACAAAATTTAAATTTTTGTACTAAAAAACTGCTTTAAGCAGCGGTAAGAAAGTCATCCCAAACGAAACCTAAGTTACAAACATGAATAGATTGCGCCAAGTTCATAGCATTTTAACGAACAAGCTAAGGGCCAAAGACTGAAAAGGAAACTTACCTGTGAATGAGACAGATAGCTGATGCAGGTTGTGAGCATTAGAGCACCAAATCCAGCATAGACAGTAGGCACCCCGGGATCCGTCTATGAAGAATTAAATAAAATATAAAACATAAATTATAATTTTTCGATTTGAGATATAGGTTTCGTTTGGGACGGCTTTTTTACTGCTTCTTAAAGTAGCTTTCGAATACAAAAATTTTAACTTTTGTATTAAAAAATGGTTTTAAAAAACAGTAAGAAAGCCGTCCAAAACGAAGTAATAATTTGCTTTGAATCATTTACCTTCAAGTCAAGGCCAGTACTACCAATTGCATCTTCGATCACAATTTTCATTCCATCAATATCAATTGGAAGTTTTGAGCTAGGACGTCGAACTCCCACAAATTTCCCCTCTTGGTCATATAAGGCAATGGACTGTAGATCCCGAGCAAGCATTGATCTGACAATTACAGAAAATTTAGTATGATTAAAATTAATTAAAAACATTCCTGAGGTTCATCTGTAAATTGTGACATAATATATTGAGAAATTGTGGACGCACATTCCATTGACACTAGAGGAATTAGTATCTCCAACAGGGAGGAAAGTTCCATAAAGCTTCTTATCTCCATTTCTCTGCAACGGAGCCATAGCCAAATTGAAAGGGCCTTGGCCATCCTTTGATACTTGAAGGGCTGAGAAACCCCAATCGGTTTGGTAGATTGTAATCCCTCCATACCTCAAGGGATCATTTACACTAATGGTTTTCCTCATGAGCTCCTTACCATTAACATCAAATAATGAGATATCACTGTGAAACTGAGAAACCTATACCAACAAAGAAAAATAAGACTACCAAGTTTGTATGTTGGAAGTCGTTCAGGCAGTAGAACACAGTTGTCAATTCCTTTCAGAGAATAAATAAAATCATAAATCAAAGTCTGAAATTAACTAGAGAAATTTAAAAAAGTGTCCGTTACCACCAACTATATTTCAACAACTTCTGGCATCATCAGTTTCCGAATACTTTATGCTAATACTACATTCATGTCTACTCATAGAAATGGTGTCTGTACTCTAATTCCTTCAATTATTTCCTTTTCTTGCAAGATAAAAGGGCTATCTAATGCTTTCCCATCCTGGTTTTAAAACAAACTGTAGTGATAGTGAAGTAAAATGATGGTCAAATAAGGATATGTCGAAATGCTTACTTCTCCACTCTCGTAGTAATCCATAAAGAATTTATTGATATGAACTTCAGTATTAAAGGCTTCTGTTGGTTTGGAAAGAAAGCCAGCAGGAGACATAACATCTGCAACAACAAAATTCAGCCCTTGAGGAACAGTCACTGAGCCACGAAAGCTGCCAGCAGCACTAAGGGTTGCTCCAGTCATAATCAATAACATGGCTAAATGCACTCCAATGGGAGCAAACCGACCAGCCATCCCCTTGAAAGCATACAATGCTGGACCTTTCAAAAATACCTAAAAAAACTAAGAACAATGATGATGATGATGGTCTTAATAAAACAATCCAATATTAAAGCTAAACAAGAAGATTAAATAAATCCAAGTAATCAGTTTGGAGCGCAAGAAAATTATGAAGCTGCTAACATATTATAGCTTAATCTTGCAAGGAAAAAGAAGTATGGAGTTTCTTCTCATGGTACACAAGATTGATTTATGTTTCCCAACAACAAAAAACAACAACATCTAGCCTTTACCCTACTACGTGGAATTAGCTACATTAATACTTTTTCTTCATTGTATCCTATTAAAAGTCAAATTCTCATTTAAATTTAATTAAAAAAAGATCATTTCTAGTATTTCTAACCAATTTTTTTTTAGTCCTAACTATACCTTTCTTAACATAAACTGAATATAATACAGCTACTCTCCTAACAGGGAGTTGGTTGTTTCAGTACCACTGATGGTAGACTGGAGGTCATCAAGGAAAAAAGAATGTAGAATGAAGAGTTAAGAAAGACCAGAGAGGATTTGATGAAAGATAATAGTAGCCATTATGGTTACTATCAATGTTTAAAATTGCATATTCAAGTATTGCGGCATTTTTCATTCGTGAGCAAGGCGTATGCCTCAAGGGGTTTTGAGGCGTAAGCCTCAAAATCAAAAGATTGCGTAAACATAAAATGATAATTTTTTTATATACTAATGAGTGAATAATATAAAACATAAAAAAGCATAAGAGATGAAGTGAAATCAAAATATCCCAATAATAAAACAACATGAAATATAGTTCAACTCAAAATTCTATCTTTCCCAAATCCCGATATTATTTTCATTAACATATAATTCAATTTCCAAAAATAAATAGCAATGACATATCACATAAGAACTCATAAGTCATCAGCACTGTCATCACTAAGGAGCTCTTCATTTGAATCATCATTATGATGAACTGCTCTCTCCCCTTCCTCCTCTCCTATAGAGTCCAATGTCGGGCATTTACTTCAAGATTTATGTAAGTTTTAATATATATAGCGTAAGGCGTAAGCCCTCATGCCAGGCGAGGCGGGCCTCAACAAAGTTGAGGCGCAAGCCTCATAAAAAAAACTCTAGGCGTAAGCATCGAGGCGTTTTTGACTGGAATTGCGCAAAGGCGAGCCTCATATTGCGCAATTTTAAACCATGGTGGTTATGATAAAGCACGGTCTAAATATTAAAAGTTCATCTAGGTTCAACTATACACATAATAGAAATAAAACAGGACTGTTTATTGGACATTAAAGAATATTTTTTTGAGAAAGTTATGTTACAAATTTGCAACTAAAGTGTAATTAATCGTGTTGCTTGTTGACAATTGCTATATGCTAGGAATTTGTCAGCAATTAGCTTTTTTATGCCATGACCAAACTAAATAGAAATAATAATATTAACCAAAGGTGCATGAGTGATGTTCCTGATGAAGAAGTTTGAAGAAGTTGAGGAAGAGAGAAACAGAGACAGTAAACGTAACAAAGGAAATCTTGTATTTGCTTAATGTCTTGGTTACAACAGATACTCATATATATAGAGTTTAAGTAAGAAAGTAATTACACGTGTCAATCTATGATTGGAAGCAAGAATACATATTTAAGTTGTCTACTCTAACATTCCCCCGCAAACTGACGAGGAGGTGCTAACAGTCAGTTTGGAGCGGAGATCTTTGAACCAAATGGTAGATAGCGGTTTTGTGAGAATGTCCGCCAGTTGGTCTGTTGTGCTGATCGGAAGAAGCTTGATATGCTTTTGCTGTATGTGGTCACGAACAAACCTTTGATCTATTTCTATATGCTTTGTTCGAGCATGGAAGATGGGGTTGTTAGCCAAAGCAATAGTAGACATATTATCACAGAATATATCTACTGGGTTGGACGAAGAGACACGAAAGTCCAATAGGAGTCTTCTGATCCAAATCGTGTCTGTCGTGGCTGCTGCCAAAGCCCGGTATTCTGATTCTGTTGATGATCGAGAGACGGTAGTTTGCTTTTTAACTGTCCATGAGACTAATGTGTTGCCCAAAAAAGTGCAGTAACCCGACGTGGACTTCCGAGTTATTGGATCTGACGCCCAGTCAGCGTCTGAAAAATGTGCGGAGCTGAAGGTTTGATCTGGTTATGGGTATACCGAGATCTGTAGAACCTTTAATGTATCTGATCAACTTCTTGAGCATTAGAGTATGAGACGGAGCCGGATCATGCATGTGTTGCGAGAGAACATTGACGGCATAAGCAATGTCGGGTCGTGTCAATGTTAAATACTGTAGAGAGCCGATGATTCGACGATACAATGGTGCATCAAAACAAGAAGGAGCCTCTACGTCTGTAGAAATGGATTTAGAAAAAGATGGGTTAGCGACCGAATTGCAATTCTGCAATCCGGCCATTTGAACGATCGATTTAGCATAAAGAGATTGAGAAAGAAAATACGTATCTTGGTTGGATTCGATTCGGATGCCTAAGAATTGATGAGCTGCACCTAAGTCCTTCATAGTAAACTTGGCTTTTAATTGATCAATGAGATCCGTAATGGCGTTACTTCTATTGCCGGTTATTAAGATATCGTCCACATAGACGAGAAGATAGATTTGAAGATTGTCTCGGTGCAGCAGGAGGAGAGAGGGATCCGATTGACTTTGTTGAAATCCAATTTGAAGAAGATACGAGGTGAACGTGGTGTACCATTGCCTTGGAGCTTGCCGAAGACCGTATATTGCCTTTCGTAATAGACACACATAGTTCGGTTTGGAGTTGTCTTCAAAGCCCTTCGGTTGTCGCATATAAACCGTCTCGTTGATGTCTCCATGTAGAAACGCGTTTGCAACATCAAGCTGGTGAACTTTCCATTTGTGAAATAGTGCAATCGTAAATAAAATACGTATAGTCGGTAGTTTCGCCACAGGGCTAAATGTTTCATTGTAATCGAGTCCAAGCTCTTGTTGGTTACCCTGAGCCACCAAACGGGCCTTGAAGCGAGCTATTGATCCATCAGAATTAAATTTCGTTCGGTATGTCCATTTTGAACCGATTATGGAGCCGTTTGAAGGTGGCGGTACCAGCTCCCATGTGCCCTGTTTGTGAAGTGCGAGAAACTCTTTTGCCATGGCGTTTCTCCATTCGATTTTCTTACAGGCTTCATTGTAAGTATTAGGATCGGTCAAGATTTGTTCCTGATGAATCAGATTCAACCTTTGAATCGGTTTAAGAGTCCCTGTTTTAGAGCGTGTAGTCATGGGATGGGGAAAATGAGTGGTAGTAGCTTCGGACACTTGTGAACTGTTGTTAATAGTATTGTTGATTTGAACAGCAGAATGATCGCAGTGAGGTAGCGGCAGAGAGTGCTGTTGAGAAACTTGAGTAGGTGACAGAACGGTGGAAGTGGGAATAAGCAGCGGAGGTGGTATGTTGGTTGAGCCCGTAGATATGGTGGAAGACCTGTTAATACAGGGAAAAATATTTTCGTTAAAATTAACATGCCGAGAGACTATGGTATTACCTGTAACCGGGTTATAACACTTATAGCCTTTCATGCTATCAGAATAACCCAAGAAAATACACGCCACGGATTGAGGTGTGAGTTTGGTTCGATTTGTTGGTGGCAGCAGCGGATAACACTCACAACCGAAAGTTCTAAGGTGTTCGTAAGAAGGAGTAATATTGAACAGTCGTTGTAACGGTGATGAATTTCCTAACGTTGGTGAGGGAAGGCGATTAATGATGTAGCAGTAGACGCAGCATCGAGCCAGTGAACCATCGGAAGCCTAGCTGTTTGAAGAAGGGTTCTCGTGGTGGTTATGATGTGCCTGTGTTTACGTTCCGCAATTCCATTTTGCTCCGGGGTATATGGGCAAGAGGTTTGATGCTTTATTCCGGCAGTTTTTGTGAAGTCTTGAAATCTCCTGTTAACAAACTCACCACCACCATCAGTTCTTATTATTTTGAGCTTACGAGAGGTTTGCCGTTCAATAAATGTAACAAAATGGATAAAAACATTAGTTACATCAGATTTGTGCGTAAGTGGAAACAACCAAGTAAATCTAGAAAAGTCGTCTACAAATATTACATAGTATTGAAATCCTTGTTTAGAGGAAACGGGGGATGGTCCCCAAACATCGGAGTGAACCAGATCTAAAGGAGCTTTGGTATTAGTATGAGATCGGTCGAATGGTAGTTTATGCGTTTTACAAGAATTGCAAGAGTTACATTGAAATTTAGACAATGAAATGTGTAAAGAGGGATTAACATGAGAAATGTGTTGTAACGTTCTGTAATGAGGATGTCCGAGCCTCAGATGCCAAGCATAGGACGAATTTCTGGTAGCCGAGAGTGCTTGAGACTGCTGACTGCAGGGATGCGCTTCGACTTTGTATAGCCCGTCTTTGCACGGGCCACTAAGTATGGTTTGGTTTGTCACTCGATCCTTAAATACAAAACCGTTAGCGTCAAAAATAATAGAAATAGGATTATCTTTTACAAGATTCGAGATAGACAGTAAATTGTAGGATAATGAAGGTATGTGTAGAAGAAGCGATAAGAGGATCTTACTGGACGGGGTTGGAAGAATGCCCGTTCCTGCATGACTGATTTGGACGGACCTTCCATCCCCGACGGTAACCATGTCATTGCCATTGTAGTTTTGATAGCTTGTCATGTTGTCGGTAGAGTTCGTCATGTGCGAAGACGCACCCGAGTCAATGTACCAATCCGTGACAGGGGTGATATCATTGTTGGCAAGAAGAGCACTCGCATTCTTGGACGGAGGCTGAGATGGAGCGTAGTTGATGTTGAGACGATGCCAGCATGCATCCGCCATGTGGCCTTTCTTCTTGCAGATTTGGCAAATAACGGCAGATGCAGAATTTGGTCGAGTCGTCGTGGATGAGTCATTAGTTTGTCTACCGCGACCTCTCTTTGGTCTACCACGGTAGGCATAAAGAGCAGCATTGTTGTCAGTCTGCCTCTGAAACTTTTGTGCAGCAGATTTCAAATGTATTTCCTCACTGATGAGGAGAGCATACAGTTGATCTAGAGTGAGCGTGCTTTGCATTGTTCGAATAGTTGTAGTGAACGACTGATACGACGGAGGGAGTCTGTTTAAGATGTATATAAGCACGTCTTCGGAGTCAACCTTTGAGCCTGCCGACGCGATTTGATCTACTATCTTCTTGATCTCAGTAAGGTACTGGGTCATGGATAGATTTTGCATCGAGACATTGTGAAGCTCGTTCTTGAGCTGAATAACCTTGGACCGATTTGTTGATTGGAACCGGACTTGCAGCGTCGACCAAATTTCATTTGTGGATTCAAGATGAATCACATATGGCAATATTTCAGGCGAAATCGTGGAGCACATTGCCGTTGCAAGGTTTTGATCCGTGATACGCCAAGATGTGGAATCTTGATTCGGATTTTCATTTTCGTCTGCCGCTTTCGGATCGAGATACGCCGAGAAGCCATTGGCTTTGAAGAGTTTTGCAATTTGGGTGCTCCAAATTGGGAAGTTGTCCGGAGTGAGAGAATGAGGAACGAGAAGTTTGAGATTGGAGATAACGAACTTGAGTTCGGGAGAGATGGTCCGAGCCGTCGAACTATTGTTGACGCCGAGAGACATTCCGGTGGACGAGGAGATGGCTTCTTGATTCGCCATTGCGCGAGGTCCTCAGAAGACCGTGGAGGCTCTTGATACCATGAAGAAGTTGAGGAAGAGAGAAACAGAGACAGTAAACGTAACAAAGGAAATCTTGTATTTGCTTAATGTCTTGGTTACAACAGATACTCATATATATAGAGTTTAAGTAAGAAAGTAATTACACGTGTCAATCTATGACTGGAAGCAAGAATACATATTTAAGTTGTCTGCTCTAACACCTGCATCATCTAGCACTGTAAAGAAATACAAATAGACCTCTAAAATTACTAAAGTTAACCATCAAGCTTCATTATTAAAGGAATATCAAGTGGACCTGGATCTTGTCACGGGCGCAGTAGAAATCTTAGGGAAGTCTGAGATAGGTAGTCATACTCAAAGGATCTATTTTTCTCAATTTAAATGATTAGCAGCATCGTCAAAAATGAGGTGACTTAGCAATTGTAATGTATGAAGCAACACACAATCTTATGTTTGAAGCTAACACAATCGGTTTATCTAAAAAAAGAATATTTATATACATAGCATTTTAAACTTGATTTTCTATATATATCTAACATCTAAAACTTATTATTTATTTATAAAACACCCAAAATCATTTTAACACCTCAAAATCAACACTGCATTATCTCTGTTGACATTTCCGCTTAAAATTCATCATTTTCCATTTTCACCACTGCTTCAACACTTCTAGACTCCTTTACTCTAAGGTCGCCGTCACTGGCCAGTCTGGCCTCATTCTCCACTCCCCTTACCCCCTTTCCGACTCCTTGCCCATGACATTTTATCCTCATCTATCACCATTCAATCCTGAGATGACCCTTTCCTATGGAGCACTATTATCAAATCCTCCACCAACCCTCCAGCTGTCATGCTATCCTCTGCACTCATGCTTGCACCAGTGTCTCTGCTGACCACTTCTCCTCTCTAGTCCTCAACGCCTACTACAGAATGGAAACGGTGGATGGTGGGAGGGGGGTGAGATGGTCAGGGGAGGCAACAATTAGATATAGAGAGGATCAAAAGAGGTGGAGAATGAGACCAGACACAGTGATGCATTGAGTATGAAGCTGGAAAACGGCAAATTATAAGTAAAAATACCAAGAAAGTGTTAATTTTGACGTGTTAGATAGATTTTGTTTGCTATGTAAAAAGTATTTGTTATGTATAGAATCAGATTGTGTTGATCAATTGGGCTGTTCTGTTGTTTCAGACCTCAAAGCTTATCGTGTACACTGGGGGGTGCGGTGAGTTTACCCCAGCTTGGATTTGGGTGCTTTGCACTTGAAATTTTTTTTCTAGTACAACGCTATGATGCTGCGTACCCGAGCGCCCCGGCAATGCGCACCCGAGTGCCCCAACGTTGAATGACAATTAGCAAAGCACCAAAGCAGCCTAGATATGGCGCCATAGCATTTCAAGACAGAGGCTTAAGCGCCGCAGAGCTTCAAATTGGCGCCGCAACACTGCGAGATGGATTGGACGGTTTTCTTTCTCGTTTTCTAAAGAGTTGCATCCCTTTGAGTTATTTTACTTGGCTTTCTCTTGTATTTTCAGTTAGGACAAGTGTAAGAATGATGCATTTGAGAAGAGAAGCAAGGAGAGAGCAAGAGAGAGAAGAGAAATATGTACTTATTTCTCCCAATTTTCATAGTGAATTTTTTGTTGTGTTGTGGCTCCGTGGTTTTTTCTCTATTTTGGAATTTTCCACGTTAAATCCTAGTGTCATTTACTTTCCGCAGCATTTACTTTCTTGTTTGTTTCGTCATTGTGGTGTTTACTCCTCATCATCCCCAATAGTATTAAGTTTCAAATGTAGATATGTGAATAAGATAAGCAAATTTAAAGTGCTATGTATGTAAATGCCCCCTCAAAAGTAAAAATAAAAATAAAAAGAGTAGACTGCATCACATGTTTGCACAAGGAGTTGAAACAAACTTATTGCAATGTCATTTACCTCATATCCAGCACCCATCAAAATAACACCCACATCCTGAATGGATGCACGTGGAAGAGAATCAGAAAACTCTAGTTTATGAATAGCCTCAGCAGAGTGGATGAAAGACCATCTGCCCGCATAAAAATATTAGTTGAATAATAAATAAATAAATTTGTTGAATGGCATGTCCAAGCGATTCCAATTGTAACAAACCTTCTAGCAACTTTAACCATAGGGATCTGGGTTGTGTATGTACAGGACATAAGCGATGCTGCCAGAAGCACCAACATGCCTAAGAAAATAGGCGATGTAAACATGTGGTCAAAACCAAGGCTAAGCACCCATCTCCAAGTTACAAAACCAAATATAGGATTTTCCTCAGGAAACTTCTGGAAATAGAAATCAGGAGCCTCCCCTTGATCAATGACAGTAGCTATGAACACATCAAGGAAAAACAAGTTATTAGATTCATAATTAATTAGTTAGCAGCTACATTCTAAAGTTCAGTAGCTTGGCATATATAAACCTTGCTAAGCTTATGAATTCAAGAGAAATTTAAACAATTAAAAATATAGAGCCAGTAAAGGATGTTTTAATAGGCTAATGCTAGGGTAGTAATATTTGTACCTACCACAATGAGTATATACAACTTGAAGAGAAGACACAAGTAATTCTTCCTATGTATCAGATCAGAGAAGAGAATACAATCATAATCTACAGAACCTTAACTTCCAATGAATTTATTATTAGTCAAAACTTTTACATAGCTAATAGTTCTAGATCATCCAAAAATTTTCACCATGGTTTCAAAATTTGGTTTTGATTTTGTTTCAATCTTGTCATAAATGCATTGGCCTCGGCAATTTAGGTAGGTTCTAACTTTTCTAACATTAAGGAAATAGAAAATAGTGACATGATTCCCGATTCAAGTTAGTTGGAGCTTTCAGAAATACTATTATAGTTTTGAAGATGATTAAAAAAACAAAAAACTTGATATGGAATGTATTGCTTTATATGGTATATCTTGATTCTTTAAGTAAACAATGCATTAAACTTACTGGATTTTCCTGATATGGCCCTCACATAGCTGAAAAAACCTCATTGATGAAGATTGACAATGTCAAAAAAAATGCAGAAACAATAGCTTGAGCACCTCAAAGAAAAATAAAATTAGTCTCATTGGTTTAGCTAAGCATACCCAGAGCCATAAGAGTCGCGATGGTGAACATCTCGCCAATAGCCAACGGGAGATTAGAGAGGGCAGCCAATACTCTCTTCGGCAATTTCTTGAGCAAAAACAACAGATCAAATCCGCCACTTTTTCGCTTTTCATCCGGCACTGTTCCACTCTCAACAATGCCGCCGCCGCGGCGAGATTCCTTCAATATCGGCGGCGCGGCGTCGAAAAGGACAATCTCCTTCCTCCTCTTCGCATCAGGAAGAGCACTTCCCTTGCTGACTTCGGAGCTCCTTAGCTTAGCCTCAACCCGGATAGCAAGGCGCGACCTTTGAGTGAGAAAACGAGCAGTGTAGGAGAGCGGAGAAGGACGTTTTGCAGTTGGTCGGAGAAGAACAGAGAAGAGGGATTTGGTTGATGGGGCATCTTCTAGGTTTGTTGCAGGGTTTACTGGAGGAAGATACACGAGTAGCTGAAGTGTGGAGGAAGGCATAGCTTCAGAACTGATTAGCGGCTAACTGGATGCATTGGAGGGAACGGCCAGAGACAAAGTAGAAGGATTTGGATAAGCCTATGAGCTCAAAGGATGCAGGGTGAACTAGTAAATATTAAGAAAAATGTCATTTATAATAATCAAAATCAAATTAAGATATTTTAAGCATCGAGGTGTTACACTGGCTATGTATAAGAATAAAGTTTCAACCACCAAAATAAAAGATATAAAATATTATCCAATTATCCATAATTATACAAATTAATAGAAAGATTAAATTCACATTTAATCCATTCTTATTAAAAATACTTTTGTGTTCATCAAAATTTTAAATTGATTTTTTTTTCATAAATAGTTATATAATAGAATATGAAGAAAGCAGTTAAGTTATGGCGCACTTTTCCTCAAAATTTTTATCATCACTTCTATAACTTGCATTTATTATGGCGCGGGTCATATTAAATCACTAACGAAAAGTGATAATGTAATAGCCATGAATTTAATTTCACTAGATTTTATGAAATTTGGCTGAGTGTTGCGGCGCTAAGTTTGGGGTGTTGCATTGTTGAGCTTGGGGCGCTGCAACGTCAAGCTCTCGGATTCTCTAAAATTTCATGTAACTTTGTGATGTTGGATCTTAAGCACTATGACACTATGTTTGAAATTGTATTTTTTAATAAAATATATAAAACATTATTATTAAAAACCCTAAGCCACCCCATCCCCTCCCCATTCATTCGGATGGCCCAGTGAGAGAAAATAGAAAAATTTAGAGGAAAAGGAGAGGGAATGAAAAAAGAAGAGAGTTTGGCATGCACAATTTTGGGCCTGGATGATGATGAAGCCTGCCTGACTCTCACTTTGGAAGGTCTCCGGGCAACCAAGGGAGTATCAGAATAGCTGTTTTTTTATTATGCTTATATTTCTCAGTTCAAGCTGGCAAGTCAACCTATCATTTTTGTTTATTTTTTGTTCCTGAAAGCTTTCTCTCTGTGTACGCTTTTACTTGTTCGTTATAGGTTTCTTTCACTTACACATGTAAACCTTTTAATTTTCAATAGATTGGGCTAAGCCCTCAATTTTCCAAAAACAAAAACAAAAAAAGAGAGAGAAAGTGAGGTTTGTTGCATCCTAGAGTATTCGTGGTGGTAGAGAAATATGAAGTTTAACATCTTAATTGCACAAAGATCCAGCACGCAATCAGATAAGAGATAGTGTGTATAGTTCATAAGAGACATCATAGTTTTTACATGGAAACCCCTGAAAAGAGGAAAAAACCACAAGGCCTGACCCAGTTTGAATGAATCCACTAGTATTTGCAATCGATTACAAATGACGCCCTTCCTTAGAAGAAGACCTTGGCTTGATGTCACAAATGTACATCATATAAAGCAAATTACATGGTTGGAGTTATAATAATCAACATATATGTGTTTATTTGGTTGGAAGGAACATAGTTGGCACGAGCAGGGGCCTGAAAGATCGTAGTTAGCAGGAGACCGATGTCAGAAAGACCGTTATCTGGTGATGGAGGTCGGAAGGACCATAGTGGGCATGAGACAGGGGTCTGAAAGGTTTGAAAGATCGTAGTTAGCAGGAGACCGATGTCAGATAGACCATTATCTGGTGATGGAGGTTGGAAGGACCATAGTCGGCATGAGAAAGGGGTCTAAAAGACCGTAATAGAAGGGCAATACTCCGAGAGGAATCTGGGCATCAAGTGGTGGCCCGGAAGAAGCCTGGGCATCAAGTGGTGGCCTGATAGAGCTCAGTGCCTTATGGGGTGGTCTGGTGGAAGTTCGAGCCTTATGTGGTGGCCTGGTGGAGCACAGGGCCTCAAGCGGTGGTCCGGTAGGAATCGGGGCCTCAGGTGGTGGCCTGGTGGAGCACAAGGCCTCAAGTGGTGGTCCGGCTGAAGTCCGGCCTCAGGTGGTGGCCTAGTAGAGCACAGGGCCTCAAGCAAGTGGTCCGGCGAAAGTCCGACGGAACTCAGGTGGTGGTCGAGGAGGAGCAAGGAGGCAAGAGCGATCTCTGATCTTTCTCTTGCTCTCTTGCTTGGAGTCCCTCTTTTCAAGAGAAAGGAGAGATCTATTTGTAGATTTCTAGAATGGCATGATCTGTAAATAGGTGAGAGATTAAAGGTAAATAGGAAGTGGTTGGATGGACGGTCGATATTGAATCCCTTGATCATTGACCATTTTTTAGACATTTGAAAATCTTAATGATGTTAGAATTTGGCAATCTTGAGCTCGTTGGATTTTTTTTGTTGAGTCGCTCGATTCGACTATAAGAATGTAATGTTTGGAAATCGTTTGGCAATCCAAATTGTGATTTGAACCTTCCAACAACACTTCGGGTCCTTGATTTGGACTCACTTGGGCTCGGATTGAGTCGAATTTGGTGTCGTTGGGTTCGTATTTCCAAGAGATTTAGTTGGACTTTAAGTTTGTTGAAATCAGAGTTTGGATGGTCCCAATTTTAATTTTGGAAGTTTCCAACTTGATTTTGCCTCTAGATTCGTGCCCGATGAAGATAATTTTTTTATGATGTATCAAGGTTTAAGCATTTATTTTTCATCGTTCTAGTTGTCATGAAAAGTATTCTGATTGTATTAGGTAATCTTAATCACACTTTTGTTTTCAGTGATTTTGAGTTTGTTCATTTTCTCCCTTCTGAAATCGATAAAATACTATACCTCTTGTTTTAGTAATTTTCCACCATGTAACTTTTGATATGTGGTATATATCATCACCACGAATAATTTGGTTGGTTTATATAAAAAATTTAACGATTGTTTTTGCAAATATGTCATTTTATTTAAAATGGGTAGTATAATATTGAGTATAAAATAATCATGAGTTAGTATAAAGTAGCTGAATATGAAATACATAACATGCATACATTTATTATTTATTTAGTCAAATATGCCTTTTTAACATACTACAGGCATGTTGATTAGTCTATTATAGTTGCATTTGGTGTAAATGATATTTTTTATTATGCTATATATGATGTGAAATATGTGTAAAAGTAAGAAAGTTTTGCTGAAAATGATTGATTGATTCAGGTTTGCTGGATATATGTCACCTTATGCAGGAGGGTTGGCCGACATACTTTCCTTTAAATGAGTTTTGTAGTACAATCCTAAGTCACATGAAAAGGGATGTATAAGAAGATTGACTAATGATGTGATATGCCAACAGACAAAAAGCAATGACTTCTTACGTGAAAGCCACTTAACTTGTGATATGAGATTGATTCATGAAAATATGAACGATATGATTGACATTAATTCTTGTAGGATTGGCCCACATGACTGTATATAAGAAAAACACCACATGTAGCTATATGTCATATCTTGCTTATATATGTATATGACATCAGCATACATGATAAATAATATTCTTGTTGAAATAATATGATATACACATGATATAGGATATGATTGATAGAAGCATATGACAAAACAAATAAGACTAATACAAATGCATACGATAAATATGAATTATATGATATACATTATACATTGCATTGGATATAAGACATTTATATATGATACAAATATATGTCTTGATAATGTACAATATGCATAGAACACATATAAAGCACTTGATTGATATGAAATATATACTAATACAAATGAAATGACATAAATTAAATCGTGCATAATCATGAAAAACCCGTTGCATTGTATTGGCATGATGAGTATAGGAATGATAGAATATACCAATTCTTTATATGACTATTGATCAATGATCATTAAATCTTAATTATGTTGCTTTTAATGATTTTTATAGCTCATGTGAAATGATGTTGCATTTATTGACTGATACATTATCATATATTTACATGATTAGACTGATATGAATTAAAAGATTATATGTATATTATTTCTACTAGCATACATTAATTGTAGTTGTAGGTTATGGTAACCCACTGAAATGTTATCTCACTCCATAGTTTTTACATGTTTGTAGGAAGGAGTCATGATCCAATGGAGGGAGGAAGATTAGGATTCAAATTTTGTTTTATTTTTTATATTTTAGTTTTATTCTTTTGTAGTTAAAGCATATAGAGAGATTGACTTATAAATTGATTGATCCCTTGGCTATTGTAAATTGAATTTTGAATAAATGAATATAATTTTATATATTTATATATATGATTTATAATTATTTTGACTAATTTTATTTGTAATAGTGAATTATTAGAAGCTCTCATAAATTAATTAAGAGATGAAATAAACAATTCTTTTAAATTTAAGTATTTGAGCTCACATATAATACCCTCCAAATTATCATCACTTAACTATGGCTCTATGCCCATCCATCCAGCCTTGATATGGCTCTTTAGGGGAATTTTATTCATATCAATAAACACTTTAATTTAGCAAGTCTAGCTTTCAAATGTTGTTTTTATGCTTGTTGCAGGCTAGAATAAAAGCGGCGATATAGTTAGAAAATTTTCGTCTCAGCATTGTACGGATATCCAGCACACAAACAAACGAAAAAATGTAACACAAAATTTTCACGTGGAAACCCAGGAAAAGGGCCACACCAGTTGAAGGATTCCACTAGTGTTTGCTTAGATTACAAGTGGTTGACTCATCCCTGAAATTGAAACGATCATATAACAATAATCAACTCATGGGTTGAAATTCAATTACAAACAGAGATAAAAAATCTGGCAACATTTGGTTGTTAGATAGAAACTCCGGCAGCAGTCGATGGTCAGGCATAACTCCGGCATCGGTCGGCTGCCGGATGAAAGTCCGACGGTGGTAGAGGATGAGTCTCTTCCTTCTCTTCTTGCTTCCTTGCTTCCTTCTCTTCTCTTCTTCTTTTCTCTTCTTCTCTTCTCTTCTCTTCTTGCTTGGGATCTCCTCTCAAGAAAAAATGAGAGGTCTATTTATAATTTTCTGAGAGTGGCATGACAAGTAAATAGGAGAAGGATTAAAGGTAAATTAGGAGTGATTTGAATGGACGAACAATGTTGAATCCCTTAATCATGGACCATTTAATGGGCATTTGAAGGCCCTAATGATATCAAAATTTGGCGAACTTGGGCTCGTTGGATTCGTCTCGCGAGCCGCTCGATTCGAATATAAGTATGTCACATTTGGAAACCGTTTGGTAATCCAAATTATCGTTTGAGCCCTCCAAATGCGCTTTGGGTTTTTTATTTAGACCCATTTGGCTCGGATTGAGTTGAATTTTGTGTCATTTGGTTCATATTTATGAGAAGTTTAGTTCTAGAGCAAGTTAGCTGAAATCGGAGTTTGGATGATTTCCAATTTAATTTTCAAAGTTTTCAACTTGATTTTTTCTCGAGATTCGTGGCCGATTAAGATAATTTTTTGATGATATAATATTCTACTTTGTTCTTCAGCAAAATTTGGATACTTCATTCTTGAATCTGTACTTCCGTGCGTTTCTCAGATCTTGGGTCGTGTTGATTTTACCGACTTCGCTTATATTTTGAATGCTACTTTGTTGTTTTCGCTTATTCTTTCTATCAGATAAACAGGAAGTTCTAGCGGATTACTTTGAAGACGACTTCATCCTGCGCAGATTTTTGTCTTTGCTGAGCTGTTTATTTAATTTCACAGCGTTTTTTTTTTTTTTGTTGGACAAAGTTATAGAATCTTAATTTTTATTTATATAATTGAGCCAAAGCTCTACTTGTTCCAAGAAAAAAAAAACTCTAAATTTGAGCAAAGTTCGATCAACTTGATCGGAGCAGAAATATTTTAACTTTACATATATAACAGAAGGAAGAATGGTGCAAAACTTTCAGACGGGGACGACAAGGACCCTGTTCCCGCCGGCGCCGCATGTCCGGCTCCTGGGAAAGATGAGACTTTCCCCAACCCCGACCTCGCCGGAGAAATAGCAGGGCCCGTCCTCGTCGATCCGCCCCACCGCCACGCTCCGGCTACGCCGAACAGCCTCGCTGTCGGCGATTGCACGGCTCTGAGAACTGACGCGGATGAGCTCGCGGAAATCCTCTTCACCGGAAGAAATCTGAGCGCTGCTGAAACTCCTAGCTTCGTCTCCGGCTGTGTAGGCGAAGCTCATCGTCTCCCCTCCAGCGCCGTAAGGAAAGCGGTTGGCGACGCTGTTCATGCTGCGGACGTACTGGTTCCGTGCGTGGCAGAGAGCGCGGAGAGGCGCGCGGATCACACGGCTTATTTGGTCGCCGATTCTTCTTCCCTGGTTTTTCATCGCCGCCGGTGACCTGTGCGCTATAAAAATGCAATCTTGGGGAAAAAAAAGTGAGATTTTTAGGCTTTGAATGAAGGAAAAGCCGAGGAGGAGGATTGCGGAAGGGCATTAGGGTCAGGGTTCTTTATAGGCTTATGGAAGTGGATAAGGATAAGAGGGGACTTAGGGAATTTGATGCCGTGTGAGAAACGTGGAGGAGGAAGAAGACATTGGAGGAAGGCAGCAATTCTTTTTGGAAGAGTAATTCTGATCCGATCGGTCGGTCCGAATTAAATGTGAATGTTTGTCGTTTGTAAATAGGAAAGATGAAATTACAAAAAAAGGCCTATTGGATTATCGAAAGAGAGAAAATGGAAATTATAAATGAAATGAATTGAAATTAGTTTTTATCATTATTTTTTAGTATTGAATACTAATTTTTTTACCAATTAATTAATTATATAATACTCAAATCAAATAAAACTTATTTGTTTATAACGACGTATCCATTGGGTAAATTATGTGGTATTTTAAATTTAAAAGTAGCACAAAATATTAATAAAAAAGATAGATTAAAATCGTTTTTATATGAGATATTATTTAGAAATGTTGTTAGATCTTCATTGAATTTTTTAATTTGTTAATTTCTCAAATTATTATCATTTTTTTTTCAATCTGAGAATATATTTTCAAAATAATTAATTTTATCATAGGATGAGCATGCCATGAGAGTGGGGATGAGGAGTTCAATTTTGATAATATTTTTTTAAAATAATATTTATTTTATTCTAGTTTTTTCTAAATATATTTTATGTATTTCTAAGTTCTTTAAACAAAAATTTTGGCTTTTCTTTTATAATGATGAGATTGATATTTATAAAATTGATTTGGATATTTATTCTACAACTGTGAAAATTAAATATGTTATGTTAGAGCCCACTCAAAACACACTGTTAAATATCAAAATATTCAATATATAAAAATATAAAAATGGTATGAAAATAACATATATTCATGAAATCTTATACTTGGTCATATAAGCTTTAAAAGGATTAATAAAATTATAAAGGATGGTCCTTTAAGAGAGCTGACAATCAAAATTTTACTAATAAGTTTTGATTTACTAATAAGTAAATCTTATTCAGAATAAAAAATGATCAAGAAACCTTTCTTAAGAAGTTAAATAGGCAAAGGAATCATCAAACTTGTACATTTGATTGTTTGTGGCATAACAAAGGATTGCTTTAAAATATAATTGTTGCGTTCTATAGTATTTGTGGCAGTAGAGAAATATAAAATTTAGTGTTTTAGCGTTATACAAAAATCCGGTACGCAATCAGATAAGAGAGATGGTGTAGCATTTATAAGACAACAAGGTTTTTACGTGGAAAACCCCTGAAAAAGGGGAAAAACCATGGGGCCTAGCCCAATTTGAATGAATCCACTAGTATTGCAGTTGATTACAAATGAGGTCCTTCCTTGGGGGAAGGTCTGAGCTTGATGTACATCTTATAGAGTACATTACATTGTGGGAATACAAAGAATCACTGTTGAGGTGTTCGTTTGGTCGGAGGGGCTGTAGTTGATGGGCGATGTAAGTTGGAAGAACCATAGTCGGCGAGCGATGAAGGTCGATAGAATCGTAGTTGGCGAGCAACGGAGGTCGATATAATCGTAGTTGGCGAGTGATGTAAGCTGGCAGAATCGTAACCGGCGGGGGACGGATGTTGGAAGGACCGTAGTCGGTGGGTGACATAAGTTGGAAGGATTGCAGTCGGTAGGCGACGTAAGTCAGAAGGACCGTAGTTGGCAGCTAAGGAGGACTCCGACCTTAGATGGCATTTGGGCAAAACTCTAGAGTCACTTGGAGATCAGACAGAATTCTAACATCACTTGGAGATTGGGCGGAGTTTCAGCGTCACTTGAAAGTCGGGAAGAATTCTAGCGTCCCGTAGAAGTCTGGTAGAATTCTGGCATCCTGTGGAAATCGGGCAAAATTCTGGCGGTGGTCGAGGAGTAGTTTCTTCCCTCATATTCTTCTTTTTTTCTTCTCTTATTCTTTTTTTTTCTTCTTCTTGCTTGGGTCCCCTCTCAAGAGAAATGAGGGGTCTATTTATAGATTTATGGAGTGGCATGGAACGTAAATAGATGAGAGATCAGGGGTAAATGGGGAGTGGTTTGGATGGACCGCCGATATTGAATCCCTTGATCGTGGACCATTTATCAGACATTTGAAGGTCTTAATGATATTGAAATTTGGCGATCTTGGGCTCGTTGGATTTGTCTCGTCAAGCCGCTCGATTCGACTATAAGCATGTCATATTTGGAAACTCTTTGGTAATCCAAATTATGGTTTGAACCTGCCAATAGCGCTTCGGGTCTTCGATTCAGACTCATTTGGGCTCGGATTGAGTTGAATTTGGTGTCTTTGGGTTCATATTTATGATACACTCAGTTTAACTGTAAGTTTGCTGAAATTGAAGTTTAGATGATCCCAGATTTAATTTTTGAAGTTTCCAACTTGATTTTTGTCTCGAGATTCGTGTCCGATCAAGATAATTTTTCGATGATATATCAATTATTATTTTTATGAATGATTATTCAATATAAGATGCACTTATTTAATGAATGAAATCTAATACATTTTCAATGTCTAATGAATTGTGCAAGTTATATATCCATCTTATTATGATAAGTGAACAAGTTATTAAAGGTGCTTTGATCTTATTGAAAGGGTGTGTATTTTAGCATTAAATTCAAGAATCATTTAATTATATGTGCTAAAGATAAAAAGTGATAAATTAAAACTAAGGCTTCATTTGGGATGAGTTTCTTACAGCTTCTTAAAGTAGCTTATAGTACATAAATTAAAAAATTTTGTACAAAAAAACTGCTTTAAGAAGCAATAACAAAGTCATCTCAAACAAAGTCTATGTTCAAAAATTTGCATGCTTTTTAGTATTTCAAAGACAAAAACATAAGATTTGTTATACAATCTTTAATTAATGAAAGTAAATGCAACTTTTCTTGAAGAAGATTTTCTGATAAATTTTAAATCTCAATGTAAGATATTACTAAAAAATTTATTAAATAAATCAATCACAAGAGAACCAATACAATTGTTGTTGAAGGTCAATAAGACATCACATGATAAGGAATCTTTATAGCTTTGCACAATATGAGGTTATTATATTACCTTCTCATTATAAACTTCATTGATAAGCATGCATTGATGTATCGGATGATCATAAAAATGCTCCATTGATATATAAGAATGAACTAATTAAGGATCCTAATAAAGAGAAATCTCAATAAATCATGATATGTGCTCAATGTACTCCAATTCATTTTAAGAATTTGTAAACCTTCCTATTGAGGTAATATTTATATAATGTAGATGTATCTACAAGAAAAAAATGGGTGCTAATGAAAAAAATTGAGACAAACACAGCTAGGTTAATGACATAGGATGATACTTAAAATGAGAAAATTGATTACGAAGAAATTTCTCATTTGTAGCTATGGTTAAATTCGCTCATATCCTTTTACTTATTGCCACATTTTATGATTATATGGTTTGGTGAATGGATGTCAAGAAATTCTTTTTGAATTTTTTATATGCAATGCTGAACATAGTCGGCTGCTATTTGTCAAACCCAAGATGGATTTATTGGTAGTGATTAAAAGATACTTAGATATCTTAAAAAATAAGAGATTATGTGTTTGTGTATTTTGGAAGTAATTTCATTTCTAAATGATACACTAATACTAACTTCAATTAGATTGAGATGAACATATGTTTAGCTTGCAGTTTACTTTGAGAGACAGAGATACAATTTGGAGAATGGTAAACAATCATGAATTTCTAACACAATTATTGAAGTTGAATATATAGCTTTGTAATTTACATAAGGAGTTAAAAATTCTTCGAAACTTAGAAAAATCTCTAATGCTATTCGATGATAATAATACAGCTATATCAACAACAAAAGAAACTATAAATCATAAAAGATCAAAGAATATTGATAGAAGTATCATTTGATAAGATATATTTTGAAAGAGTATAGTATAAGATATCAATATAGAATATAACATCTCAAGTGAACATTGCTAATCCAATTTTCCTAGGCATTATCTAAAAGATCTTTAAATAAATATGAAGAAGGAAGGAGATTATTTACTGATCACATATTTAAAGACAAGATTTTACATGTATGAATATTTTTATTTGATATGGCATTTCAATATCATATTTAATCTATAATTACTTATGTAACTGTAATTCACTTTGTAATTACATATATATACAAAGAAGATTGAATTATCGATAATAATTGAAAATAGTCGGTAATAATTAAATAATTACAAAAAAATTTATATTACTTTTATCTTAAAACAATTTTAAGATATTTTTTTAGGCATATTACCGAAACTAGTAACAAGATATCATAAAATAGGTTTTTTCACATAAATTGGCTGTCATGGTTGAATCCTATATTCAATTAGAGGATCCATAAGTTTCACGTCATTGGGAAAGTGAATCTAATTTAAAATTTAAAATTTAATAATATTTTTAGTTAATGAAAGCTCTGTAAACCTATTGATTATAAGTAAATTAAGTTTTTATAACAAGAAAAATATGGATGACCTTTTTATGAAAAATACGGATAGGATGTTCTAATGCATTTTACATTAGAAGGGACTTCATAATCCTTAAATTTATGATGAGATTATTGTAGACTTTAGCTATTATATGTAGTACTAATATTCACATAAATTCAAAAACTTTTAGATTAGGGGTGTAAACGAGTCAAGTTGAGCTGTGAGTACCTGTCATATCGAGCTAAGTTTGTTTAGTTCTTATTGAACATGAGCTCTACTCGAGCCCATTTACTAGACTCGAGCTCAGCTCGTTAAAAAAATTTAATCCTCGAGCTCGCTTGGAAAGCTCAAACTTGACTTGATTGTTAGCTTGATTTCTTAGTTTTAAATTAAAATTCTATATTTATTTTAGAATTTTTATTTTTAATATAGAGTTAATTTAAAAAATTTCAATATATCAAAAAATGCTAATTTAATTTAATTTTTAAATATATACTATGTTAATTGCGCAACTCAAC